CTGGACGGCATGCTTGTGCACAGCTGGGTAGGTCAGGGGACTGACAAGCTCTCATGACAGTACTTACCTAAAGTTCTGTGTGTCCTGTCTCTATGGTAAGTACATAAAACACCATGGAAACATTGACATTGGACAAGCAGACGTGTTGTCAAAAGGTGTGAGGGCTCCTACTAATCTCTCTTCAAGGGAAAAAAAAATCCTCCTTGCATACACACTTGGCTACTACGCTAGTTACTCAGCTGCTTGGCAGCTCCTCATTGGAAATACTAGGAACAGAATACGAACCCTAATAAAGTCGATGAAAATTTGGCAAGTACTTCAGTAAGCCCTTGATTTCACCATCGGAAGAGTGTGGTTCAAAAAAAGGAGCTTTGACACATGCCAGGGGTGCTCTTGTCATCACTGGGATGGAGGTTTAGTTCTGTGTTTTATTGATGGTAGGTAGAGAGTGCTTTTTGGCAAAGAGGCTGAAGGCATGAATTTACTATTAATGTAGTTTTGTTGGCCGTATTTCTGCTAATTCTGTCCCTTTCGCTAGCTCTGAAGGGGAGAGAAGATGCTGCTCTTCTGGCTGTAGAAGAGCTGTCGGGGACTAAATGATACTGCAATGCCCATCATCTCTTGGAAATATTTTTCTGGTTTTGCCCATTGCCTGCTTTTTGGGAAGTATTCTTCACTTGCAAATGCATTTGGAATTAAAAAAAAAAAAGAATTGTTGCATGCTTGCAATAGAAGATTCAGAAATGTTCCCATCTGATAGCCCTAGTACTACTCCCTAAATACTACTAAACTGCCGTCAGTTTTCATAAAATGTCTTACCCTTTCTGTGGGGATCGATTTGGCACTGGCTGCTTCTTTCCTCGTTCCCTTGCCCTACACCAGTCAACACTTTTTTGTTGTTGTGGTTTTATGGCACAACTGTTCCTTCCCTCCCACCCACACCCCCCCCCCTTTTTTTTTTTTTTTTTTTTTTTTACATAAGCTCTGTACTTAAAGAATAAGGTACAAGTTGTCAGTTGCTGAGAGAAAGGGAGCTTTGTGGATATTTATAACATGCCTAATGGCATTTGAGAGCCCTGAGGAAAAACAACGCTGTTTCCAATCTTCAGCTATGTCAGATGTGGCAGGCAGGCAGCGATGCTCTTCTCAGTTCAGCAGGGGAGGATATACTGAGAAGGGGATTTTTTCCAAGCTATTACTTAACTGATATTAGCATTTGAAGGCACATAAGGCATGACCTTTAATCCTGTGTGTAGACTAACTGATCTGCTTGCTTGAATGCCTCATTGTAATGATGCAGAATGGAAAGGATTGCATCAGACCAGAGAAAGAAATCTTCTGTCACCAGAACTTGCATATTTAGGTGTGTGGCTGCACGAGCCCATCCCACACGTCACATCTGCAAAGTCAGAGCTTTCAGATGCACCTCCCTGATCTCTCCTCCAGCTCCTGTCCAAAATTGCATTCATCAGTGAGCTACCCTCCAAAGCACAAGACTTCCTGTATGAGCTGCTAGATAGTAGCCCCAAAGTGAGAAAGGACAGCGCTGACTTTCGGTCTGTTCCAAAAGCGTGAGTTACACATGGACTTTTTGCCATTCATTTCCATAGCAATGCAAACAGTGGTGGTAAATTAGTTTTATGGGGCATTAGTGGAGGAGGTCAGTGGGTTTTATTACATTCATGTGAAAAGTTGGAGCCAAGAATGTAAAATGAAAACTGAAGATGAAGAGCACCGGAAAGCAGAACAGGGTATGTGAAGCAACCAAGTGTGTATGTGATACTGTGTAAAGTCCCAAAGAGTCTTCAGTCTAAACTGGTAACATATTTCAGAATAAGTTTTGAAGTTACAGCTGTTGCGAGAGGCTATCCGAAGAGGTCAAGCACACAGTAGGGCTAGCTGAGAAATAATTGAAATGGGTAGGACAAATGCGCCAAAGCTACGCTGCGATTTTTGTTGCAGCAAGTTTTCTTGTAACGTGTGTTCAGCATCCGTCTAGTTTGTGAGATGGGCTTGCAGCATCAGCCTCGAGGAGAGGACTGAAGTTGTGGGACCTGATACATCAGAAAACCAGCTTGCAACTGCTCCTCTTTGTTGAAGAGAGCGCTTGGGCAGCCTGCAGGGGTGGTGGGGCTGTGTCCCGACCTGTTCAAAAGGATACCAAGACAAACACAAGGTATTAGTGCTGTGGTGTTTTCTAGCAGTGATTGACAGCTCCAGACAGCAAGATGGCATGTTACTCTGCCAGCAGCCTGTGGAAAGCTGTTCTGACATAGCCAACCCACTTGGCAGCAGAGCCGTGGCTGGCCCGCAGCGCCTGATGACTCAGTTAAGTCCTGGAGTTGTTATTGCAGAGGAAGAAGTCGTTCTGTTCTTTAATTCCTTTGTTCAGCCCATAGATCAGTTGGATGGTATCCTGCCAAGGCCGGTAGTTAGGAGAAATGATAATGTGAAAGTCTTCTGGGGCTGGGTGAGTTGTGACCATAGACTTTGTGTTGGAGCTAATGGTCCAGAAGGATTTTCTTTTGCTATTAGGAAATTTACCAGCAGTTTAAAATATAGCTTACTTGGTTATTGCTCAGCATAGCAGCTGGAGGCATTCTTGCTGCTAGCCCACCCACATAAGCAGGACGGGTCAAGCCTTCATCCTTTCTTCCCCCTGATGATTTATCGTCTGCTTTCATTACCCAAGAGACTAGATCCCCAGAGCTCTGGTCTTCACATTTCTGTTGCACTCTCGTGCCAGGAGTCCATGACTTCATCCCTCTTGCTCATCTTCCCCCCCGTCAGCCCATTGCTCATAGTCATGTCTTGCTTAGGCACGGGTAGGGCTCATGCGCTGCTGTTTGGGAAACCAAGGTCTAAGCAGGAGCAACAGTGGTTTTATTTTAAATCTGGTTAGGTTTTTGGTTGGATGTCAGAATAAATGTGAGTTGAAGTTGCGCCAAAAATCTGCTTGGAGGGTTAATGTCTGTAAGATGGACAAATATGTAACTTGTGAGAGAGTCTGCTGTGCTCTAGCAGTTTGCATTTATTTCCCTTAATTATGCTTACGCCCGAGTAGAGTTTTGGGCAATTTTGAGACACACAGACTTGCTTGTCACTGTTGGGAAATGAACTTTGTTAGGAGAGGTAACTGTGGAGCCTGATTCCGAATCTCGGCTTCTTCCTCGAATTACCTCACCTGAAATGAAAGGAGCAAAGGTGGATTTCTTTATTATTCAGAGCAGTGAGAGCCTTAAGTCCTTTTCTTTCTTTTACTTAAAGGTGTCAGATTGCCTGTTTCAAGCCTTCTGCTGAATGATCACAAAAATCCAAACGCAACATGAGGTTGAACTAGGTACTGAATGCCATCTTTCAAGTTAATTCTCCAGCTTCAGAAGTTGACACATTCCTTTCAGTGCGGAGGCAAAGTTGCTCTCAAATGCAGGAAAAGAGCGTGAAGACGTTGCAGGGGGGATTTGTCATACCCAGGGTCTGCAAGGAGTGAAGTCAGTCGGAGGGGGGTTAATTACTCAAGGTTTCGTGCTTGTGTTAGGACTTGCACTCTTCCTTGCTGGGTGTTTGAGGATTCGCTGGCCTCTAGTGGTGAAGCCGGGTAGAAGCTACGAGAAGCATCGCTGCTTAGCTCTGCACAGGCGTTGGGTTGGTATGTGTACTAAAAGGAACACTTCGGTTTTGAACACTCATTAATGGGCTCCTGAAATAGTTGAAGGAAGTCCTGGACTCCTATGGAGCAAGCCTCTTGATTTTTGCAGTGTCTGTTTTAGACCTTTTAGAAGTAGTCCTGGCACTTCAGGAATCTACAGCATAGATATTGAGAATGGCTGATATTTAGATCCATGCAAGTAAAGTTGTAAAAAACTAGAGTGTAAGATAAAAATGAAACTTTATCTTACAAAGCAACCAGAACTTAATCTCAAAACTTTACAAAGAGATGACTTGAAACTGTTTTCTAAATTTATATAAATGGTGTTACCCACAGCTCTGTTGCATACATCCTTTTTTCTACTATTCATATAGCATTTCTGTCTCCTGTAAAGAGATTTTTTTTTTAGAAGCTGACTACACTCCTGGATTCCTAGGTCTTTTTTGCACCCAGTCTTCTCATAGCACTGACAGTGTCCCTTGCTGCTCCTCAGCTTTCTCTGCTTTTGAGCTTGGTTGCTCAGCAGTGAAGTCTGTCTGTCTGCTGCTCTTGTTTGCATGCTTTCCTTTCCCAGTCTTGGAGAAAAATTCTTAGTAGTGAGAGGCACAATGTGATACGTAGCTCAAGCCTGAGAGACTTAAAGGAAATTGATTTTAAAATAAATTTTGAAAGATCAGCTCTGGGAGCTAAACAAGCTGGATTTTGGCTGGTTGGTTTGTTTGTTTGAGGGGAGAGTTTTGGTTTTTTGTTTGAGGTTTTGCTCCTAAAGTGTCTGTGGCTAAATGAAAATGTTGGAAGACTCTTATCTGTCACAATTTAATCAAATAGCTTCCCTACCAAAAGATGTTAGTAAGCCCTTCTCAATTAAAGGGTTTCTCCCTCCCCTCTCTTCTTCAAGCCTGCCTTCCTTTATCTGCATCTTCCTTCCTATGTCTCTCTATCCTTAGTCTCAAAAAATCTAGTTCATTAAGATTTAGAGTACATTCAGGACCCTACCCCTTTTAACTGCATTTTTTAGAAGGAAGAGAAGGGAAGATTAAGTCTTCATGAGAGCTCTTGGTCTTTTCTTTTGATTATAGTTCAGTCTTTGACAAAGACATTTATATTCAACTCAGGTATTGCCATTTTTGTAAGTCATGCTATTGATAAATAAGTATTCATAGTGTACCTTACATAGTGTTCCACATGGGTGCCTCCCAGGATTAGCACTGTGTCTTTTAATATGCTGAAACAGGCACTGCTAAGTACAAATTGCAGTTTTGGTTCGCATCTAGCTGCAGAACAGCAAAAGCAAAGAAGGTGGTTCATGACACATGCTAATGATTCCGGCGTCACGGTTTTCTGTTCACAGATGTGAAAGGACCACCTACACACCGACTGTCCTGCGGCCAGTCCCCCTACACCGAAACGACAACATGGGAGAGGAAATACTGCATCCTGACAGACAGCCAGCTCGTGCTGCTCAACAGGGAGAAAGAGGTGAGAGAGGCTCACGTTGGCCACTCAGGATTATTTTTTGACCTTTACTAGTAAAACGAAAAGGCAGCTTTTTTTCATTTCCCCCTTTATTTTGTTCACGAGTCTAGTGAAATGTGTGAAAGGGGGGAAAGCAGGGAGCTAACCTATTTCGTGTATGGATGGCATGGTGCACACAGTTATAATCTAGCTGGCCCAGATGCTGGTTGCATGGAAGAGGTGACAGCAAACTGTGTGCACTCAGAACTCCCTCCCAGAGTTTTACAGCCTGTGTTTAAGTCTGCCGCTACATCTTCTACATTCTTACTGCTTTTAATGGTAGTTAAAGGCACCACAGCTATGTAAACCTACCTCCTCACATCAGTGCAGACACAAAGATAGGGAAAAGTGCACTAAAGGCAGGGAAAAAGGGTTTTATTTGTGTCTGTATTGGAGTGCTGAGCAGAGGTGGTGTGTGCCACCTTTACACTGTACAGTCACCCTTGCTGCAGTCACAGGGTAAATGGTTTGAGACAGAGGTTTGCGCGCTCTCTCTCTCTCTTGCTAAATGCAGCAAGGAAGATTGGGTGCCCCTTGGCATGGATGCTCAAAGCTATTGCAACCATCTTTGCTTTAATTATAAAATTACTGTGGGAGTGTGTATATATATATAGCACGTAGTACTTGGCATTGTGCCTTGCAATGAAGGCAATAACAATATGGTTAAAGAATAAGCATGCTTTAGTTGATTGAAACACTGAACAAACAAATGCTGATAATTCCCTTCTCCTAGATTATGCCATGCTATGTTTTTTCATGTGATATTTGATGTATACAGACTGTCACGAATGCATGAGCTTTAGAAGCATTTGATAATGCTCCTGGGTTTGTTTGTTTAATTATTCTGCTGTAGATTTACCCTGTTTAAAAAATAAATATTTCAGGAGGAGCTATAAAATAAGAATGTTTTCAAATTACTGAAATAGATTTTATTACATATAAATGCCTATGATTTTGAGTCTAATTACCATGGTTTCCTACACTTGGAGATGACCTGAATTTTTATGGTTTTCCTTGATTCTTTTGAAGCTGCTGTGTATAGGCTGAGAGTACGAGACCTGTTTCTGGTGTAGCACTAAATGTTATTTATCTTCAGCTGTGATCAGATTTATTTACCAGGGCTGAAATACTTCCTTGCATAGCGAGAGTAGGAGGAAATGGTTTAGGGAAGGACTTGAGTTATTAGAAGGGAACAACATCAATGCTAATGCATAGGAGAGGTGATCAAACGCAGGGAAAATGGAAAGCCCATATCATAATGTTTGTTTACTGTGTAATTGTTTTTCTAGTCTGACAGGGCTTTCACCTAAAGAATTAAAGTATATAGTGAAAAAAACTCAGGGACATGTGAGAATTATTCCTAAAACTGTACTGTACCAGCACAGCTGGGCTAAAAGGATGCATCTCATTAAAGAAATGTAATTGAAAACAACACTGTCTTGTATCACAAATAATTATCTGAAGGTGGTAATCATGCACTTAGGAGTTCTTAATTTCTCTTACCACATACAGTTGAAAGCATTTTGCTGCTTAGATCCTAAGGAGTAAATATGGGAAGTCTGACCATCACTAGTGTTAAGTGATTAAGTAAAAAGATTAATGTGTTAAGTCATTATGTACTATGTTTAAATACACTCTGTTTTTTGTCAGAAGATGGAGAAATTCAGTATCAGACTATACAGAGCCTGGGGTTTAAGTATAGCAGTTCTCCCAAAAAATCAAGCAGTAGAGTAAATCTTTGCAACGTGCACTATCACAATGAGAAATAAGTTGTTTGGGGAAGTGCTGCATGCAGATGGACCAAGCAGACGTGCCTTTGGTGCAGGTGTGACTCCACATGCTGATAATGTGATTTGTTTCAGAAGCTCGTAGCTGGAGTCGGATTTGCCATTCTGATTTTCAAGCAATTTGGGACTGGTGTTAAGTGAAAGGAAAAAGGAAACTCCTTGCAGAGTCATGAGTACTCTGTAGGAAAATGAAAGGTGGTTTTAATCTAGCTTCTGAATGTACACATGGCAGCATACATACAGTCCCTTATAGAAACACAAAACATACAGGAGTAGAGCTCCTTGTTAAGAGAGAGACACAGACCTGATACTCTGGATTTGCACCACCTTCTAATTTTTCTGAAATAAAGTATCTCTTGTAGCTTTCATGAGAAAGGGAAGGGGAGGCAGCTGGGTTAAATTTTGCTTGCCAAGTCATTCAGAGTTGAAAGAGGCTGTATGAAATGTGATCTAGAAGTAAGAGTGAACAGAGGCCTAAGGCAGCAATGGGTAGAAATGCTTGGGAAGAGCGTAATGGTTGAAAAGTATGTAGAAGGGGAATCAAAAAAAGCCCATGGGTGGGACCACAGGTACAGGGAGCTTAAGCAAAAGACCAGGTGAATGAGGAAGAGGGAGGTTACTTAAAGAAGAAAATTGAAGGTTATGCTTAGAGTAAAATTATTGGAAAGGTGGTGCTGGAAGAGGTTTTTTTTTAACATGAAATGAGCTCACAGGCAACAGGAGCTGAAGATGGAGAGGCTCCTGCTCTGAGCACGGGAACTGCTGATAGAGTGGGTAGGTCAGAATTTATTTGGACTGCTGGAGAGGATCTTAAAAAACAATGTGAAGGACAGAGTGATACCCATCCGTGAGGGGGTGGGTGTGGGGAAAGAAGGAAGAGATGTTAACAGCAGAGTGCCCTTGCAGCCGAGAGGGAGCACTTGCACCATCACAAGGCTGGTGTAATTTGAAAACTGTAAGTCTGAAGCATCTCATTTTATTCTCTGTGCATCTGTTTGTTACTTCACGGAATAAAAAGCCAAGAAGCTAAGCCTGTGTGAAATTGAAGGGGAACAGCAATGTTTGATGTTTATGATACTTTGTAAAATCATTATGCAAGTATGTAAGTCAAAGCCAAAAGTAGGAAAACATACAAAATGCAAACTGGCAAATGAAAGATGTCTTAATTGTTTCAGGTATAATGCTAAGTTTGGTTTCTTTCGGTTGATGCTGTATTTTAACAGCATTATGAATTGTACACATTTTCAAGACTGAGGGGACAGTACAGAAATAAACAGAGGAGTAAGAAAACTTTTCTTCTAACATCTCACCACTATGGATTTATTGTCAAGGCAGTTTGGATAGAGTATGTGCAAGAGAGATCTTGAGCTGTGCAAGCACAAGGGTAAGTTGGAAATCGGAGAAATTTCAGAGTACAACTTGATCCAAAAATATCTGTAATTACTCAGACAAAAATAGTCTGATGGTATCACCTTGTGCAGTGTAGAAAAATATTAATTACTTGACACCTTGTCAACCTTATAAAATGAAAATAGGTGAGGCTGAAGAATGAAGATTATTAATGAAGGGAAGAGATTGATGCCCAAAAAGTAAGTGGAAAGAAAATGAATCCCTGCAGGGACATGAGAGACGACTCATCAAATAAGGAGTCATGAGTGACAGGAGATGTGCAATTACTACAACATATCCTGGTGTGGTAATATCTAGCAGCACCTTCCATGACTAGGAGAACAGGTCTAGATTGATTCACTTACAAATCAGGTATTTTTTCTACAAGGAAGATGGTTTCCCACTGTCAGGAAGGTGTAGATACTTTCATCCTTTGTGAAACCTGTTCCATAGGGTAAGAGCTGTGAGGGCACAGTAAAAGTGTCTGCAAAGTCAGTGCCTTTTAAACAGGGGAAAAAAGGGAAGGAGTTAGTGTTTATGAAGAGTGGTTTCAGAGAGATAATCCATTGCACAGCACTTTCATGAGGGATATGACAAATGGCTGCATCTGGTTTTGGGCTGCTTTTTAGTTAGTCTTTGTCTGAAACTTGGCTGCTGTCCTGCAGAATCTTTTAATTTTGTGTTCAGTTGGAAATGAAGATGAACAACACTTCTCACTGTGTTAGACTCTTCTTTTTTTCCTCCCTGCACCCAAAACCTCATCTTTCTTCTTGTATTTAGAGGTGTTTTTAATCAAGGGCAAAGGATAGTAAAGACCTACATCTGCTGTGACAAGATCTACTCCTTATTGGTGCTGGTACAGAGGCCAGCAGCAGGACATCTCTGATGTATTTTCCTACTCTTCCATCTCCTGTGACTGACACCAGTAATGGAGCGACAGCGATGATCCCAAGAGAAAATAGCAAGAGCAAACACTGATGCCTGGGGCCCCAGGGGAGGTTCTTCAGAAATGCCCTCTGCCATTCTCACAAGACTTGTCGTGTCGGTATCTTACAGCAAATATGTTTTACCTGTACACAGGAGTTTGTCAAAGCTGAATGCAGTCGTAAGAAAAGATTTGCTTCAATTCCCAAATGAGTTTATTTCTTTTCCAAAAGCCCAGAGAAATGTTTGTTGTCAAAATTTTTAAAGTGGATTTCGATGTCAAAATTTTAGCCAGCTTATATCTTTCTGGAGGAAGGTAAACATTAAAATGAATTGCTTAGCTCTTTTGTTAACATGATTCCAAACTTCCTGACTATTAGTTCAGAAGAAGCTGCAAGTTCTCAGTTTTTTGTCTTGAATCAGTCTTTCCAATCTTGAAAAAAATCCAGTCTTCATCTATGCAATAGAGAAACTTTTTTCCTCCTTTTTTGTTTGCCCTTAAGAGGCATTAAATGCTTGTCAGGCTCTTACTCCTGTTTCTTCCGAAATCTCTTCATCATCTTCATCTTCAAACTACTAGAAATCCCAAATACATGATGTTTATATTTTAAGTATAATTAAAAAGTATATTTAAGTATATGTAATTTAAAATATACTTTTATACTTAAAAAGCATGTTCAGTGGCAGGTGAGCTGCAATGCTGTCCAAGAGTTCAGAGTCCAGGCTCTGAACCTGTCCTTGTTAAATTGTGAAATTTGACAATGAAACGTGGCCTGTGATCAAAATTGTCAAGATTGCCAAAACTATCAGCATTTGGACTGTCCCTATGTACCTTCTTGTCCCAGAGTTAAGCTGCTCAGAGTC